ACCAAAAAAAAAAAAAAACAATCAAGAAAAGGGCATTAAGATTTGTTGGACAAGCTAGCAAGGGGGACGGATTCAGACAGACACATACTGCAACTTGGACAAACCTAGGTTTTGCTGAGGATGTACTTCTGTTAAATCAAACTATCTTCATTTCCTTTAAGCGCTGAATAGATAACATGTCCAACATGTCCTGATCAAATCCGGATTCTTTTTTGAGGGCACAAGAAACGTGCAAAGCTTCATCACGCTCCAGATTATAGTATAACAATCCGTCTTTAATCAACACTATCTCAGAACACAAGTTGCACTCAATCTCTGCATTCTCGTGTTTGAATGGGAATGAAAAGAAGAGCTCGTAAAATACATTATTCGCCAAGGTCAAGGTCTTGGGAGCTCCAGCACAATAAAACTCAATACTAAATTTACATGGGGCGCAATAGTATGCCATTCCACGATATTTGAAATCAGCAGGGCAGCCCGAACATTTGAGATCCTCATGCACAAGATCTAAGAAACGAGTAAATTTAAGAGGGTGTTGAGGATGAGACATATGTTGAATCTTGGATGGAATGGAAAAGCAAATCTTATCAATAAAGTAATTGCAACCACTGCAAAAGTAGCCTGTGAAAGCTTCAATGTTGCACAAGCTGCAACTCAGGGGCTTGTCCGGGTTATATTCCAAGAGAGCATGGCGGTGACTGAAATGTGTGACGCCCCCACATGGCTGACTTCGACGAGCAGGAGGACGATTCGTGATCGCCAGAGTTTGCACCCGGTTTTGAAGTTTTCCCATGGAATCTTTCTCCACTCCATATTCGGCTACAGCAGCACAGTCGAAGTGACACAAGTAATCATGATCATGGTTGTAAAATACCCAGTAACCCGACGTAGGAACTGCTTTAGAACAAATTGAGCAAGAGAGAGCAGCAGCCTCACTGGTTATTGGAAAGGAAAGGAACAGGTGAAGTTGGTATTTCACTTTTCGGGACAAGGTTATGGGTATAGAAGCATATTCGACATGAAGATTGAAATTGCACGACTCGCAGCAATAGTATGACTGAAACAGGGAATCATCAGAATCATCACCATAGCCACAAGCAGCGCAATGAAACTGCTCGTGGGCGGTGGATTTAAAGGGCCTAAGAACAAGAGTGTGGTCATAACCGGGGTGAAAATCATGGCGAATTTCTCTAGGAAACTTACTACACACCTCATGAAGGTAATAATCACAATGCTCGCAAGCAAAAGCCCGACCAGAGATGATGATATCACAAAAGTTGCATTTGATTCCTTCACTTTCCCCAAGGCGTAATCGCAGCAATGGATGACGATGGCTGAAGTGATTCAAGTCACCCCCACGAGGAGGAGGAGGAGGATCTGAGGCATCATCAACAAAAGCAGCTCCTAGTAAATTCGTCATTATTCTTCGATTTTTAGGTCCAACTTTTTCTTGAGTTTCGTTTTCATTCATATCCAGCGGTTTATTGCCAGCAATATACATCTCTAAGCTTTGTCAAAACTCAAAAGTTAGAAGAAGATTTAGACAAAGAGAGACCTCTCGGTGTCCTCCCTTCACACGAACACTAATTAAAAGATATACACGGAAACCTCTGTAGTTTGAACGTACATGAGTTTAACCAATATTCTCAATTATTTTCACTTTTAATATTTATTAAATAATATATAAGGAAATAGTAGTACAAGACAACTTGGACTCTAAATTTATTCTAGTGAGTTTGTTCAGGATTTTCACCCAAAAAATAGGAGGATTCCACCCTTCTTGTTTTCGTCCTCGTTAACATCCTATATATATGGAAGCTCTTTATTCGTTATCTTTTTCTATTTCAGATTATAGAGATGGATGGGTACAATAAACTTGAATCAATTTGCAAAATGAATTTCTTTTGTAGAGTATAATTTGAGTAATTCTTTATAGTGTTGCGGAAGCCAAATGTATATAGTGTGAATAAGTCACAACTACTATACCAAAAATTATGACAGCTACCAAATAATAAATAAGACAATAAAGCAACAATAAAGGGAACACCAGAATTTACGAGGTTCGGCTAATTTTGCCTACTCCTCGGACACAACCAATATTTTATTTCACTCCAAAAATACAAGTGAAATAATACTAAAGAGAGAAGATACAAATGCCTTAAACAGATGAGAAGGCAAATGAGAGGTGTGTTTCAATCCTAAACATTAGGCCTTCTTTTATAGGGGAAAAATCCCCCCCAAACTTAACTCCCAACCAATGTGGGACTTTGGCATTTTGCCAAACATCAACATATAGAACAATATTTTGGGACAGAGAGCTGGATACTACAAAAATAACAAACTTCTTCAGTTATTAAGCACCCCTTGTCCATTCCCTGTTTCTCCTGTCTGTTGTTGCTCATGGTAAAAACTACTATATCTTTTTTTTAAATAAAGCTTTCCCAGCATGAATCTGGGCTGTGATATATTGCTGCGATACAAAATGAGGGGGGCTATGCCTTAGCTCAGAGTACAACAAGATAGACTGCTATTGCACCATCACAACAATATGTAGAGAAGGGATCGTATGGACATCTCCCTTCTCTTTCTAATACAACTTAACTAACAAAAAAATTAGCTTTGTCATACCTAATCCTAATACTAGGCATTTGCCACTTATCTAGTAGAAAAGGGCCTTTTGCAACATTGGGCAATTGATGATAGGAGAGGTAGACAATATCATCATTCTGTGAAGTGGCCATTTTTGCCAAGGAGTTCGCTACCTGGTTAGCTTCCCTTAAACAGTGCATGACATATACATTGATTAATTCAAGGCTCTGTACAATCTCTTCAATCACCATCTTCAATTTATTGTTCTTGGTGGACCTTTTTCTTAGCATCTCAACAATCAACAACGAATCCATCTCCAAGTCAATATTTTTATAACCATTTTGGATACACCACTCTACTCCAAACTTAGCAGCTATGGCTTCAGCAAAGTTGTTACTCTTACACCTTATCGGAATCGAGAAGGCCATAATAAAATTACCATTTACGTCCCTCGCAATTCCTCCAATACCAGCATTACCAGTTGCCTTAATGTAGCTCCCATCTGTGTTTATCTTAATTCTACCAGTCTCGGGTGTGCACCACTGTACTTGTTTCCAAATCGGAATTGGTCTCAACCTCTCCACAATGTCACAAATTTGATGCCAATGTGGTGGTAGTTGTATGTTTGGGAAGGTTCTATTAATCACAGCCTTAATGTTCCACACTACCTGATATTACATGTTCCTGTGATGGAACTTTTTTTGTTACCATACTTGCAAGTAGTACTCATTTTCCACAACTCCCAACATATAGTTATAGGAGTAATTTGCAATATCAATTTATGCACCAAATTACTTGGTTTCCTTTGCCACCACTGTTTGAGAACACCATTGATAGAATCAGTTTGCAATTGCATCCCAAGTGATGTACCAAAGTACTTCCAGATATGATTTGCAGCTTCCCCTTCAAAGAAAACATG